TAGAAAATGACATTTCCTCTTCTAACATAATCAAATTTCAATAATCCCTTGCAAAAAATAAGGTAAAGTGGACATTCGCGCGCGCAAGACGAAATCCTTCCAAAACCTTAGTTTTCGTAGCGATTTTAACATAAAAACATCAAAAAACCAATGGTTTTTCAAAAAAAAATTGTCAAAATTTCATCCCGCGCGCTCTTGCGGATTCGTAGGAAACCCAACACTTTTTAAACATTTCTGTCAAACGGGCTTTTGCGAGCAACTTTTTCGAACTTCTGCAACAACGGTTGCGCACCTGCCAGGGCCATCATCCCTGTCAAATAATACCATGCGGGACACATTCGTTTTTTCTTCGCGCGCGCACGCCGTCGTCGTCGGCCGCGGGGCCCTGAATAGTAGCCACGGTCGTCCGCATGCCACGAAGTGAAGTGTCCGAACGTCATAGGGCGGGAAGCTGGGTGTGGGTGGTGGCGAAGAGTCGTTTGGAAATTTGGTAGAGCTTGAACCGGCCCCCCCACAAAGTGGGGGTATTGCCCGCCTCCTATGAAAACCCTGGCACTGGTGAGAACGGAGTGTCCCCACGTGCTAGTAATTGTTGTTGTTGTTGTTGTTGTTGTTGTGGGGCCGATTTTTGCGCCCCCCCAAACCGCTCGAGCGTGAGCCTCGTTTTCAACGAAAATGTAGCCGGCGCCGAAGCGAGAGCGCCAGAGCGCCTGGGGGGGATCCAACAACGATATTTGTTTAGTAATTCTGTTATTGCTGGGGGCGGCGCCATATCAAAAGAGAGTTGGGCGCCAGTCCAGCGAAGAACGGGAGGACGTCTCGGGCGGGAGCGCTGGTTTTGTTTGGGCGGCGGTTTTCGGCGGCGAGCAAAAACACCGGCTCTGAATAAAAAAGGAAGTCTCGAGCGGGAGCGCTGTTCTTGATGGGGGCGGCGCCGATGCGAGAAAGACTAGCGCGCCAATCCAAGGCAAAACGGGCAGAAGTCTCGAGCGGGAGCGTCGGTGTTGTCGGGGCGGCGGCTTTCGGCGGCGAGCAATAGCACCGGCTCTGCGCAAAAAAAAAAAGGCTCGACCGGGAGCATTGTTGTTGTTATTGCTGTTGCTGCTGTTGTTGTTGTTGTTGTTGTGGGGCCGTTTTTGGCGCCCCCCCAAACCGCTCGAGCCGGAGCCTCGTTTTCAACGAAGATGTAGCCGGCGCCGTTGTTGTTGCGGGGGGGGCCGTTTGGGCGCCCTCCACAAACCGCCCGAGAGGGAGCCTCATGTTAAACGAAAGTGTGGCCAGGGCGCCAGGGCGCCTGGGGGGGTCCAACAACAGCAGTAACAACAACAACAGCAACAACAACAGCAGCAACAACAACAACAATAATGATAATAAGTTTACCCTCGCGTGTGATGTCTCCACACGAAGCATGCGACCATCATGATAACCATCCACGCAATGGGGGATTTTTTTTCTATAGCGGGGTCCGTTATTCCCATACCCTGATCTCCTGCCCAATGAGGTCTTGCAAACACCTCCTCCGAGGAATTTCAACATATCCCGCCTCGAAAACGCATGTCCGCGCCTTGCTGCGCCGATGCGAGACCGCCAGTGGAACCCCAGCGAAGGGTAAAGCACAAGGAAGTATCGAACGACAGGATTGCCTTGGTGGGGATGGGGGCTGTCGGCGGTGAAGCAAGGACCTGGCCCTGAATAGAAAGGGAGGAAGTCTCGAGCAGGGCTGCTGTTGTTGCTGGGAGCGGCGCCTATGCTGAAGAGAGTAGGGCGCTAGTCCAGTGTAAAACAAAACGAAGACTCAAGCGGGAACGCTGGTTTTGTTAGGACGGCGGCTTTAGGCGGCGAGGAGGAACACCGCTTTGAGCAAGAAAGGAGGAAGCATCGAGCGGGAGCCGTGGTTTTGTCGGGACGGGGGCTGTCGGCGGCGAGGAACAGCACCGTCCCGAAGAAAAAGAAAGGACATCTCGAGCGGGAGCGTTGTTCTTGCTGGGAGCGGCGCCAATTCAAAAGAGAATAGGGCGCCAATCTGGCCTAAAACGGAAGGAAGTCTCGGGCGGGAGCGCTGGTTTTGTCGGGGCGGCGGTTTTCGGCGGCGAGGAGGAACACCGCCTTGAGTGAGAAGGGAGGGAGCATCAAGCAGGAGCCGTGGTTTTGTCGAGACGGGGGTTGCCGGCGGCGAGGAACAGCACCGTCTTCAGGAAAAACCGAGGGAGCCTCGAGCGGGAGCGTTGCTCTTGCTGGGAGCGGCGCCAATTCAGAAGAGAGTTGGGCGCCAGTCCAGCGTAAAACGGGAGGAAGTCTCGGGCGAGAGCGCTGGTTTTGTCGGGGCGGCGGTTTTCAGCGGCGAGGAAGAGGACCGCCTTGAGTAAAAAAGGGAGGAAGCCTCGACCGGGAGCACTGTTTTAGACTTGCGAGCCAGTCCAAGGTAAAAAGGGAGGAAGTCTCGAGCGGGAGCGCTCGTTTTGTTAGGACGGCGGCTTTCGGCGGCGAGCAAGAACACCAGCCCTGAGCAAAAACAGAGGAAGTCTCGAGCGGGAGCGTTGTTGTTGTTGGGGGGTCGGTTTTGGCGGCCCCCCAAACTGCTCGAGCGTGAGCCTCATGTTCAATGAAAAAAGTAGCCGGCGCCTTGGTGAGAGCGCCAGAGCGCCTTTAAGGTGTCCAACAATCCACAACTGTTTAGTAATTAACGTGCAACAGCAATAAAAACAACAACAACAACAACAACAACAACAATCATTTTACCCGAACGCTCAGTGTTCTCACCAGTGCCAGGGTTTTCATGCGACGCGAGACAATACCCCCACTTCGTGGGGGGGCAGTTCAAGCTCTACCAAATATCCAAACGACTCTTCGCGACCACCCAAACCCAGCTTCCCGCCCTATGACGTTGGGACACTTCACTTCGTGGCGTGCGGACGACCGTGGCTACTACACTGGCGTGGGGTACACACCCACAGAACTTGGTCACTTATTCGGGGCGCGCGTGTGCCCAGCATCCTGCAATTGTGACATACAATACATGACACAGACAGACAGAGAGAGAGACAGAGAGCAGACAGAGAGAGAGACAGAGAGAGCGGAGTTGGTCACATTTTTGGGGCAAGTTCCTGAGATCGTCGTGTTTTTTGTTGGTCTTGCGCGCGCGAATGTCCACTTTACTTTTTTTTGCAAGGGAATATTGATTATGTTAGAACAAGAAAAAGTAGCTCGCGCGAGCTCATGTAACATAAATGTTGAAAAACCATTGGTTTTGTGGGAGTCGGACAGCGCGCGCGGGATGAAATTTGGACATTTTTTTTTGAAAAACCATTGGGTTTTTGATGTTTTTATGTTGAAATCGTTACGAAACCTAAGGTTCTGGAAGGATTTCGTCTTGCGCGCGCGAATGTCCACTTTACCTTATTTTTTGCAAGGGATTATTGAAATTTGATTATGTTAGAACAAGAAAAAGTAGCTCGCGCGAGCTCATGTAACATAAATGTTGAAAAACCATTGGTTTTGTGGGATTCGGACAGCGCGCGCGGAAGGACATTTTGACAATTTTTTCTTAAAAAACCATTGGGTTTTTGATGTTTTTATGTTAAAATCGTTACGAAACCTAAGGTTTTGGAAGGATTTCGTCTTGCGCGCACGAATGTCCACTTTACCTTATTTTTTGCAAGGGATTCTTGCAATTTGATCAAGTAAGAACAAGAATTTTCATTTTATAGTGTTTTTTGCAAGGGAAAACGGATTACAACAAAACAACCGGATCCGGTGACAATCCACTTTTCTGAAGCTTTCGCTAGAAAATGAAGGAAATGAGGCTGCGGCCTAGGTTTTGGAGGGGGGTCGTGCACCAGGGGTCCCAACAATAATTATTCTTAAGAAGAAATAATGTTCAACAACAACAACAACACCAACACCAACAACAACAACAACAACAACAACACCAACACCAACACCAACAGCAACAACAGCAACAACAGCAACAACAGCAACAACAGCAACAGCAACAGCAACAGCAACAACAACACCAACAACAAGAACAACAACACCAACACCAACACCAACACCAACACCAACACCAACACCAACAACAACACCAACACCAACACCAACGCCAACAACAACAACGACAACAACAAGCATAATCCTCACCACCGGTCCACACTTCAGCCACGCACCCAGGGACAATAAATGACTGATCGGCCCCCTCACTCTGGTAAGAGGGTAGCCAGCGCGGACCCCAAGAAGTGATTTCTTGCAATCTATGCGGCGCAAAATCTAGGTGGTGCTATCCATCTGCTCTACGTGGTGCAACGCAATGCAATACAATACAAAGCAATGCACACCAATGCAAACAAATGCAAAGTACTGCAACGCAGTGCAAAGTAATACAAAGCAATGAGACGCAAAGCGAGGCAATGCGGCGCAATGCAAGACAACAGCAACACAAAGCAATGTCAATCAATGCGATTGCAATGCAGTGCCATGCGATGGCACTGCAATGCGATTGCCATGCCGCGGGGGGGGGAGCGGTTCAACGGGGCGGCGGCGACGGGCGTGAACGGGGCCGCCAGGGCGGCACACGGGCCTTTCGTTGGGCCAAATGGTGCGGCGACCGAAAGGGACGCGGCCGCTGGGGCGGCCAGCGGGCCCGGCTCCCGGGAAGGCAAGTGCGAGTCCCTGAGTGCAAGCACTGTCTTGGGAATGATGAGCAACATGTTCAGATGTGGCTGGCTGAGCATAATATGTACAGGGCAGTTTTTCATGCACGGGATGTATAAAACTATCGGAGTTTTCATCCATGATTCATGCATGAATCAGTTTACGCGTGAACTCATCGTTGCTTTTAATACTACATCCCTGCATGTTTAGTACATGATCCGCACGCGGAGCATGTATTGAAAACGGCACTGTAGGTGTGTGCAGCTGCACTGCGAGAGACAGCGGAGACAAGACACGGACTGCTCCCCAGGCGGGGCACGCGGGCGCCCGGCGCGGCCCCCCGCGGGCGCGGG